GCACGCCACAACACGCGCGTGCACACCCGCACGCCACAACACGCGCGTGCATCGAGGTGGTGGTGGGTCTCAGCGTTCGCTCGTGCCGCAGCTGCCGCGCGCAGCCACGTCCCGTCGACGCGTGGCCCTTCCACGCTTCGTATGGCACGAACGGAGCCGCGACGTTCCAGGCACGATGCCTGCAGGCCGTGTATCAACCACGGGCTAACGGGCTACCGGGGTAACAAACAAAAAGCGGCGACTGTATATACAGGGTGCTTAAAAAAATGTCAAAACTTATGGAAAAGAACGGATAATGCACTGTGACATGATAACAAATGTATATTAATAGCTTAAAAAAGTCAAAGAGTCTCCATTTGTTCGCCATCATTGTCAACACGTGCCTGGAATCTTCTCTAGGTGGTCTCCAAAGCCCGGAGGCACATTTCTTGTGGTATTGTTGCAAATTCTCGGAAGTTTAGATTTAAAGCTTTCGTGACTGCAGGGATTCATCTTCTTGGTTCTTTCGGTAAATAAAAATAAAACATAATATTATGTTTTATTTTATTATTTCATTACTTCCCTTCTACGTGACATTACCGAAAGAACCAAGAAAATTCTCAGAAGTGTTCACATGTTTTTGAAGCACCCTGTGTATGAACACCCCGCAGCACACCGACTCCTGTTGCGATTCACCATTCACAGCACGATCAGAGACATCCACTGTCATTTCAAGAGGAGATAGAGCTGGAATAATGTTCTGGCCCTCATATATACACTCTCGGATCCTGAATGTATAAACCTCCATATATTGTCAAACAACAGGCACAGCAGTGCACCGTAAAGATCGCTAAAAATAAAGAGAATGTTTTATAACCTGCAGACGTATCAAAATAGTGGCCTGGCCAATCATCTGGCACTGATGTCTACGATGTATCTCTCTCCTTTCAAGCCTCTAAATTGTCTTATGGTTATTGTTAGTCTTGCATCACACTGGGATTTTTGCACACAGCGTTGTAATACGGTGGGTTTTTCTGGAAGATTTGCTGGTTTATCCAGGATGTTTCTGTTGCGCGTCGTCGCTTTAAGATGTTCTTTGTTCATATTTTGTTTGTTGCGGTTGCACCCGACTCAAGAGCCGCATGGCTGACAGGGCGACACCCAATACCTGAAACTTGAAACTTGAAGCCTCTGACGCAGGCCTCGGGGTTGGCCACCCAGTCTCAACCCAACGTCACACTGCCACCACGTGGACACGTGGCCACACTCCACCAACCACGATCACAGTCAAAGTTAAGAGCGCTGTGATAGTTTGATCATCTCAATGACACGCATACATCAGTCAGGGGAGAAACAGTACTGAACCATCATGTACTCATATGGAATAATGAATAGAGTGTTCTTTATTTAATGTAACAAAACGAGATGCCATTGAGGTGTATTCTCTCCTTTGACATAGGTAGTGATAATATACATAATAAAGGAGTTAATTTAGGGACTTGGATCATGACATCGGAATACAATGCTCTATCGTTGAGTAATATGTCACGAGAGTTTCAACATCCACCTGGCAATACGTGGACATTTGTAACATCCAGGCAGCGAACGGATCGTGTGGATTAACCTGCCACACTTTGTCCCACGTTGTGCCCAACTGGATACGTTGGTACTGTTACAAATGCACATCAATATACACACACAACGATCAATGTGTTGTACACATCTTCTTCGGCCATCCCGACTCAAAGCACTACCGCCGCTTCAGTTTGAGAGCAAACCGGAGTCATGACTCCGTGTGGACAAATCATCGAACACAATCTGCAAACACTGCGCCCCTAAAAAAAATCCATGAATAAATGCCAAACGCGGCACCGCCGCATGCAGTACAAACACACCACGTTGTCATTCAACGGTGTCGCTGGAAGAGTTGGAGCTGGTTTTTGGCTGAGATGATCGGAGGGCATGTGGTGGTACATCACTCTCCAAAACTCACTCAAGGTGTGGCTCAGCAGCTCAACACAGGAGGCCCAACCCAGGCTGTAACTCTTCATTCCTCATCACAACGGGCGTTGTAGGTGGATCCGTATAATTCCAAAAAGTCTTCTATGATACGTGATTAATAATGTTAAGAAACCCAGGATGGTTTCAGGTGTGGAATGGTGTAATTGGTGCCAGTGGTTCAACCTCGTCAGTGGTTCACATTCAAATACGAATGATACGAAAAGTTAATTACAGTATATCATTGGATGTAATGCATTCACAAAAGCCTGCTGCAATGTGTAGAGGCTATAGAGTGATGGGCCCACACTGCTGGAACACGTTTTTAGAAACTGTAATTGGAACACGTTTGGTGAAAGAGTAAATGCAGGTAAATACCTTAATTGTTGTAATGAGGGCACGCAGCCGAAGCACCCTGAACGCACCCAATCTTGTCAGCCTGGTTCGTGCCCAGCTGGGGAGCCTGCCTGGAAGTGAGTACCACGTGTTGTGTTGCCTGGGGCTGTGCAGTGGTGGCCAAATGGATTCTTGATTCTGTCTGTGCGGACCTTTACGTTTCAGCCAGATGTTTGATTTCATCGGATATTTTCCTCCCCGTTTATCAACGTCTCGTGAATGTAAATGACAAAGACATCCCAAAGCACGACCATTGAAAATTACTGTTATTTACCAGGGGTTTCCCAGCTAAATAAAGGACGTAATTACATGATTAAATCTAACATCTATTTACATGAGCCTTGATGTATTATAGTAAATATTATGATGTGGCCTGGGTCGTGGTTTAGTTAGGTCTAGTTGCAGGGCTGTAGTTGGTGGTAACGTAAAAACAAGGCTCTTTAAAAGTCATAATTGCGCTGCATACATTTTAAAAGTTGAATTGCTATCATAGATTTCCGTCTTGAAGCAAATACACAGAAGACGTCCTTGTGCCCGAGTCTCGGGGTCTAATGTCCTTCACCCATTCCGTCTGACTCCGCTTTCCCATCCCATGCAAGTCAGAGATGTACATACTGTCGACGCAGCATCTCGTACCAATTCAATCAGATATCTACCTCTAAATACCACCACAACCTACTATACTCTCCAGACGTATGTACCTGCTTCAGAGCCAACAGGGTCGATGGCAACAACTTAACATCTCTGCAGCACCGCTGGCACCCACGGTGTCTCCCGCAAGGCAACCAGCGCTCTGGATATGCTGTACTCGCTTTAAAAAAACACGATGCTCAATTTCAATGTTGAAGGACCTCTTGAATTCTTACTCACGGTGGCATCCAACGTGTTACGACTATGATTGTTTGTGTATGGGTTTCAATGGGTTTGTATGGCATGCCAAACAAAGTGTGTAAAAAAAGTGTTATTATTGTTTATTGTTTATTTATGTCTGTTAATTGTGATTAATTTTTTAATTGCTTGGTTGCACCGTGGGACCAAGAGAGAGGACTGTAATTTCATCTGTGTTGTATGTCATGCATGTAACACACTTGACAATAAAGTGACTTTAAGATGACTTTAAGACTTTAAGGTCCCAATGCTCATGAATGCAAGTCTCAAAATACGACGACTTCGTCTGCGGTGACTTCTAACATCTGTTGTGCATCGACTGTGCCGACACCAGGGGAAGCTTTGACATCACTGTTTGCTGCGTTTCACATGGAGAGGGATGAATGCTCCTCTAGCGAAAGTGTAAAAGCAAGCCACGGTTTCTTTTAAAACACTTCAGAAGATGAAGATACAGATTTGCGGTCCTGACAGCCGTCACACTAAAGGGATGTTCATAGACATCAACCCCATACATTCATCGCCAAGCTGTGCTCGCAACGATGAACGCCGTTTTGTTTGGAAGGCTAAGGATTCAAACACAAGTCAATAGCGGATTTGCTAGTGCAGCAGCTCACTCGGCCTCTACCACAGCCATAGCTGTGGTCTTGTGGGTGCATGTTCGGCCTCGCACTCTCTCGCTCTACAGCTGACGGCCCAGGCCTCAATGTGAATGCATCTACAAAGGCCACAAATTACATTTAATAGCAAGCATTTTAGGCCACGTTGCCACTTATATCGCCTGCAATCCACACAAAAGGCTTTTATAAGCCTAAAATACAAGAGGGCGAGCAATTCAAAGATGTGTATACGACTGTCTTTTGTGACAAATGTACGTCGACATATAATCCACATCTATTAAATCGGGTCATTATATATCCCACAACTCTTGCAAAACGGTGCTACCTGCCATGAACGGTGAAGATTGAATCCCCTTGAATGTTACTTTTCTGCTTTCAAAGAGGCTGCTCACGATACGCGCAAGCTTACTACAGGCACTGGAAAGCCATTTGTTTCAACTTTAAATTCTCTAGATGACTCATTCATCGGCATGGAATTTAACGAGTATGGATAACAAAGACCGGCGCTAAACTCAAGAGGCGAGCTCACAAATCCCGGCTTGCTTACAGAGAAGAAACCCACCAGATACACCCATCCACCAGTCCATGGGTGTTATCGCTTTAAGATAGGGCTTCAAAGACGTACCCCTGAAAAGGACATACACTGCCTTCATGGTGGGTTGTCTCGTGTTGCTCAAAATTGATGAGCAAAACGAATGACAGAAAAGCACACGTGTTTTTTGGTTCATGGATCTCAGGTGGCTTAGTGGTGCCCCTAATATGATAAAGCAGGCTAAGGATTCATCTTCTTGGTTCTTTCGGTAGTCACGTAGGATGGAAATAATAAAAATAAAACATAATAAAATATTTTTTTTAGAAATACCACTTTTATTTAATTATTTTATAAATTATAATTTTTCTTATTTCCATCCTAATGCCACTGTTCTATTTTTATTATTTCCATCCTATGTGCCATAATAAAATGATTTATTTTATTTTATTATTTCCATCCTACGTGACTTTACCGAAAGAACCAAGAAGATGAATCCCTGCAGTCACGAAAGCTTTAAACCAGGCTAAGGATATTTTGCCAGCCATTTCAGTCTGGAATATCTGATGGCTTTCAGGACACCCGGGACCTAACGAGGCTCCGTGAGTTGCCCAACAGCAAGCACATGATGCAGTCAGAGCTATATTGTGCAAAAGATATGCAGAAATGGTATCCACGTGATAAGTAGAAAATGTCAATTTATACTGAAGTATAACTTCGTTCTTCACGACAGTCGTCAATATCTTACCTTCAAATGCCTCCTACAAGAGATACTCTAAATTGAGAAAAGCATTTCGAATGACGAGTTTGCTGCATGAGTGACAAAGCGATCCTGACTGTGCTGCCTGACTTCGTGCAAGCATGCGGTGGTGTCCTCAGAACTCTGTGATTTTTCATATCTGGAGGTTGAAGATTTTCGTGTGGAAAGCCATGGGAATGTTGGCGATTAATGGATCAATAACAACCATAGGTTATAATTCAGTTACATAAAAGCTTGTTTTACTAATCCACATCGCATCGTGTTCCAATATACAGCACAGTATGTATACGCATTTCACCAAACAATGGCGACTAATTCAGGTTACCATTCAATTTACGCATAACGAGACAACGTTGTTATTGCGTAGTGTACATCCATACGAACATTCTCTCAGGTTGATGAAAATTGTAATCAGCTGGAAAAATTGTAGACGTTAAAATAGACCCCCAATGTGAAGCATACTTTGGGGCCAGAGGCTTATGCAACGACAAAAAACAATTCCTTGCAAAATTAATATCCTGACATCACTACCTGCTGCGCGGATTTGAACTCGGAATCTGAGACCGCTCCAGTCAAATGGTCACCTCAGAGGCTGGTGGCTGAACGTAACAGCTGAGTGTGCACACACCCTCGACTGCGCTTGCAAGCATTGTGTGTTTTCCATAAGACCGTGCAGCCTACGCATCGTTCAACTCGGCATGTTTTATTTGATGCAATGTACATCTCACGTATTTGTTTTGCTGTGATATGGAGAGCTGGTCCGTCGTGGTCCCACAGGACACTTGCTGCCCTGAGTAAATGGTTACTCATCCACTTACTGTAGCCCTCACCTTTTTACCAATAGAATCCCTCAATGTGTGTGCATGTTGACCTTCGTTCGCACCGTACGTAGGCAACCGTGCTCATCGAAGGTGCGGCGGAAGGACAACAAACTCACAACACGGTACCCGAGAGTGACTTGAGAAGTAGATCCGAGAAGAATGTAGGGTAATCATTGAAATGTGTTGCGAGTAAAACATATTAATATAATTTACACATTAACACCTCATCAACATGAGATTGGCAGACATGAAAAGCTGGGCATGAGCCAGCAGTGTAGATAATTGGAGGTGCAGAACCGGTGCCCCAAGCATTTGCCCAAGACCCAAATGGAAGTTCATCCGCCCATCACACACTCACACCTGGGTTCTGCTTCGATGCCAACTGTTGCAAGCTTCTTGCACTCTTTACAACTCTGGGGTTACAGGCACGGTGTCGTGACCGTATACCGTCATGTGGGCAAAGAAAAATGTGTCCAGCTCATAACTGTTTTTGAATTAAAATTATGATCTGGCTACATTACACACGTGTCAGCATTACGAGAGATGCACCCCTTTATTTGGGCCGCTTTGCGGATTCAGAAGGCCAAGTCACGGTGGTAAAGGGAACATCGTTGGGGCGAGTTCTTCCCTCCGACAAGAACACCCGTAGTGCTCCCAACTGGCCACTCGCACAGTGCAAGATGAAGTGGCTTTGCCGTCTTCCTCCACATTTTGGGATAAGTAGGGAGTCATTTCACTGTCTGGGTACAATTTGGCAACAACTGAAGAGCTGGAATTGCCTTACACTGGACACGCCTTCATGAGTTGCTTTACAGTTGACTAAACTAGGCACTGTAATGAATGCCTTGACATGGACAAACTACTGAGAATAATAATTGAAGAGAAACATTATGTTCATCGACGCAAGGTTTTTAAGTCTGGTACAATTTCTGAAAACATTAGAAATCCTTCATTTCTCAAGGGGTTTATCTTTTTACATCAAGAGCAGTCATAAACCTACACATTGCAGTGCTCCCATTTCCCTCAATATGTCTTGCCACATATTGAGTAAATGTGTAAGGGGATTACAGGGACACTACATTCATTACATGTCTCTTTATATTTAGGTTACTATTTTTCTTTTAATAAAAATAAAAAAATAAAAATTATGAGATGTTCACTTATTTGACCTCAGTGCCAAAGCGATCATCTCTTCCACAAAATAAACCATCAGTAACAACTTTAACAGGAATATAAAAAGGAAAAAAAAAACTTTGGTTTCCGAGAGCACGCAAACGGTAAATAGAACAGTTTACAAAAGCACCCTAAACAGCTGGCGTGTTACCGACAGACCTGTAGTATTATAATTATTATTATAAAATGGAGCAAAATGAGGACACTGCAGAATGGGAACGCAAAAACAATATTAAAAAGACCGTGGCAAAGACACAGAATGGAGAAACACTGTACCGGACTCTAAACTACTTCTGCAGGGCAGCCTAACAACACTAGAACGCTTTCATCGGCATCCACCCATCCAAACAAAACCCCAACACAACAATGCTTGTATTTCACAATCCCCGAGACAATATACCCATTTAACTTTGCAAAGTTGCAAGAAATCTCAGCATTTAAGATGTTGCAATTACATTACACTATAAACATTCCCGTTTAATAAATTAAATGTATTTCTCTTGCATCTAGTGCTAATTACATACAATTGCTACAGTAAATGTCATTTTTATTTTTAATGCACATTTTCTTTCATCTTCGTTTTGTTGTAACCAAAGCAGTCGCTGCAGCCTGTGAGCAGAACTCTCCTTGTAAACTTAGTGTGGGTGAAAACAACAACTACGACACGGGACGTAACAAAAAACAAAATAAGCCGAACAAAACCAATCTCAAGAGCGTTCAACTCAAAAGTGTACCTGCAGCCGGCGGACACTTTTAGTGCCGTCAGCACCGAGGCGAAATGGGCTCCCTTTACTGGCCGGCAGTCCACAAAGGGTAGCGATCAAACAAAACACACGCACACAGGATATGGCCGCAACCCCCACGCCTCTCCCCCCCCCCCCCACCGGTGAGCTTGCTGCCCACGCTCGCCTCCCCCTCTTCTCACCGCTGCCAACGAGCCTCCCCCGGGCTCCGGAGGAGACTTGAGCCCACGGAAGCCGCGTCGCAGCCAACGGCGATTGCTTGTGAGCCGAGGGGCCGTGGCGGGCCGCCCTCGTCGCGGCTGGCTAGTTGCACCGAGAAGGCCGAACGTGGGGTGCGGGCAACTCCCTCCAGTACAACTCCAGGGTGTAAAGTACAACAGACGATGCACCACGACAGCAATAAATTAACACTGAAGATGAAACGCCCCTTTCCACATCCCACATCACGCTGGAATGAATGGCTCAATAAAGGCCAAAAAAACGCAATAGAGTATTACTATTGTCCATGTTAATATTACTTTAAAACGGCAAAAAACTAAATCTTTTGTACCTAAATTATCTGCATTCTTTTGTGAAAAAGTAAACGAAAAAATTACCAAAAAATGAATTTACTTCATACTGTATGTATATAATATTTATAGTGACACACGCACACACGCACGCATCTCAGTTTGCAGCAATCGCACGGCAGGCTAGCCGCACATTAAAGTGTAAAAACTCACAGAGAAAAGTTTACCGCAACGTTTTTTCCACTGTGGGTTAAAAGACATCACACCGATGTCTCGTATTTCAGAGTCAATCCAGCTCACCAATGTGCAGTGCAGGAGCTGTGAAATGTAAACACTGTTTTTGTATCCTCTCTTTTTTCCCGTTTTTTTTACATTTCAACAAAAGTTTAAAATGTAATTTTTTTTTCAAAATTGTTCATTTTATCCTTCCGCTCGTGCATTTCCTTTCTTTCCCCGTCGTTGCGTCACTGGGAGCAGGGCTCGGACGCGGCGGGGGGCGGGTGGCGCAGCACGTGGGCCGACAGGAGGCGGCCACCACCCGCCGCCTCCACGGCGCCCAGATCCAGCGCCAATCGCACCGCCGGCTCGCTCCCCTCCGCCGACAAGGAAGACGATGACGATGACGAAGAAGACGACGACGATAACCCGCCAGCATCGGCGGACAACGAGCCGTCCCCGTACAGTTCCAGCTTGAGCCGCTTGGCCGGCACCTCTTGGTCTTCGCCCACGGAGCTGCTGGTGGTGCTGTGCGCCACCGAGTCTGGCGTGGACGGGCCCCCGTCGGCCAGGGGCAAGCACGACGACTCCGCGCTCGCGCCGTCCCAGCTGCCGCCCGCCGGGTGGTCGAGGACGGCCGTGAGAAAGGGCCCCAGCGCTGCCGAGCTCCCCGACGGAGAGACAACGATAACGTCGCCACCACCGCAGCCACGGCTGCCACCGCCGCCGCGCAGAAGCAGCATGTCGGTGCATGTGAGGCCAAGGTCCGACGAGCTGAGAGATTCCAGCACTTGCACCGCCAGGTCTGAGGGTCGTAGACAACAGTGCGTATGTTGGATCGTATCCTTGCACGAGGTGAGAGCAAGCAGAAATTGATTATCTAAAATATACGTTACACAACCAATTACTGGACTATAAGTTACAGTTTTACTCATGTCCGCTTTCGGGCAAACGACGGTGCTTGGGTACCACCCTACCAGGCAGCCGTGCTAACCACACCGCCTTAATTTGGAGCTACATAACAAGTGGAACAAAAATATGTTAAGCACGCTGCAGATGCCACTGCACCATTACCCCTGTCATTTTACTTTAACGCTCCTGCACGGACATTTCCGCAGTGTGAGTGACCGTCCTATCAAGCAGACAAGTATTTTACTAGTATCGAGCAACTCACTGTCACCAGCAGCACGGTACGACCAACACAGACCCCCCCACCCCACCTCAGTGCGTGCATCTGCCTTCACAGTCGACATTCACCCGGGTTATAAATGAAAACAACGTAATAATTCCTTGGATTCTCACGCACAGAACTACCCACGGCGACAACCGAGTGGAGGAGTTTTTGAGGGCGAGGCCGACACCCACCGGCAGCGACACTGGCGGCAGCGTGGCCGTCGTCCCCAGGAACGCGTTCCCTGCGAGAGCCCCCCGCCAGCAATGGGGCGAGCGCACGAGCCGAGCCCTCTGCCTCCAACTCCACGCCATCCCTGGAGCACCAGGCAGGGGTGTGGGTGGGGGGGAGTTACAACCAGCAATGCAACTCTCGGCAAGCCACGTTGGGCACTGGATCGCGACCCATTGCACCGGTCAGCCGAACTGTCATACGGCGGCAATCGGAGGCCACTTCCACGAGGTCAGCCGTTCGAACTCAGTTGCAAGCACTACGAGAGAATTCTGTGTTTCGACCACATTTGTACGTGAAGATGTGTGCGATGCTAATCTGTGTTTCAAGCAAAGCATGTTCCGTGATTTTATGTCAGGTTGGTAAATATATCCGATGTGCATAGAAGGCAGCGAAGTAACAGTACAAGCATGCTACGCACAGGATAAAAAATAAATCCAGCTGGGAGTGAAAAATGTAGCTGTGGAGAAATGCCTGACAACTGGTCATCCCAACACTGCCGATGCAGCCAATGGCACCAACACAGCTATCGGTGGGCGAACTGCGTCCGCAATACAGGTGGGAGGAACGGCGCACGGAGGCCAACTTACCCAAGTCCTGGTTGCAGGCTGGCCTTGCGCTTGCCCATCCGGCTCTGCTGCATGAACTCCAGTCGCCGAGATTTCTTCCATACGTAATAAAATGCCACGCACTCTGCCACGGATTTGGTGCCCACCTGCACAAACACACGGCAGTGGTGATTGACCTCGACATCGAATGTGTTTCACTGGAAAAAGAGAACGCACTTTTCCATTGTAAATAAACAACAAAAATCATGTTCATTTCTTAGTTGAAAAGCCACATCTGCTTATTTTCACTGAAAAACAGACAAACTAAGAGAAACGGGCATTTTTTTTGCTTTGCCAAATATTGATTAAACTGCCTTCCTGTCAACACTTGAATTGGGCCCCAAAACTGAAACACTGCTTTGGTTAACAATGTAAACAGTCTTAGATAGTAGCAAAGCCACTTCATACCATGTAATACCATGGCAACGTGCATCCTTGACGAAGTAACCATGTGGTCGAATATTGACTCTAAACAACCCAAAACTAGAGCTGATAACTACATCACAGACAACTAAAAGTTATCATAACATATTCAGTAGTTTTAGCCTCATCAGTGTGCATTTATCACGTAATTGTCAAGGAAAAGTCTTACCCCTTACTCCCCTCTTATTGTTTTTTTTTAAAACACTACAAATAACATCTCATGCAAATATTAAATATACCAACTTTATTACTAATCTGCATTGAAGTTAAACATCATGATGTATATTAAAATAATATTTATATTTTGTTATATATTATATAATTTCAAGATGAACTTTTCAAATGGGCATCTACACTTAAAAATATGATTAAAAGTTCACCGAATAATGCAAACTGCTATTTCAGTAGCTGGGGCTACTGTAGTTGAAGTGCTGAGACTGCTTTAGATCTCACCAGGGTGTGGATGACGTGGAAGTCCTTGTAGTGCAACCGGAACCCTTCTTCAAACTTGAGGCGCTCTTCGTCCGTCCACTTGTGCATTTCGTCTGTAATGCATCAACGAGAGCTTGATTATGAACCGGAACCATTTTTATAATAATGCGCTCACAATCACAACTGCATTGCTGTTTACACATCCAGATGAATGTTTCGACTGCTGCTGCTGCTGCTCAGTCGGTTGTCGTGAAAGGGCACTTTGGGGTGACCCGCAGGACGCACCTCTGGGAGGTGGTGGAGCGAGCCGGAGGCGAGCCAGAGCCTCCCTCGTGTCGTAGTTACACGCCATTAGTTCCCGGAGAGCCTGTGACACCCACAAAAGACAAAGATCCCCCGTAAAGCCTTAATTGACTGTTGGGGCAAGTGTCGTAAGCGAGCACCTACAGGCATCGTCACACCAACAAGGGCACACAAATGACCGTGAAAGCAAATGCACAAAAATGTATTCATGCATCTCCAGCACAAGCATTCAAAGCATGAATGTAAATGTTTTAAATATGTAATGATTTTTTTGTTTTTGTGTGTACATGTGTTTATTTCTTGTACGTTTAATTTATTTATATATTGTTTGCGTCATTTGTTTCATTTCAGCATCTTTTTATTGTTTTGCACTCCGGAAACTGTTGTGCTGTTTGCTATATTTTGATCCATGTTTCCCTTGATAAAGAGACTTCTGCTCTCAACGGATTCTTACCTGGTTTCATTACTCAAACATTCATAAAACATACACAGGCACTCAGTTGCACGTAGGGGCACCCACACACACACAAGATGGTGAAACTCAACCAACTGCAGGATCTGGCTGCCTTAATGGGTAAATGTCTGTCAGGGTAATGAGCTGTGGCACAAACGCCAGAACGGGGCTCTCATGCGCTGCAAAATTGATGGTCTCGGTCACATTACGGATATTCACAGAAAGAAACATTCTAAATTGTTATTTTCATTTTATTTGGAGGCACTGAACCAATGGGGTATAATTAAATGCAATGGAAACATCGTCAAATGTGCCATCTGCTGCAAGAAGTAATCCCTTCTGCAGAGCGGGTAACAGATATGATCTGAATGTGATACAGGGGCATCCCTGTATTGTCTCATTGCAGAGCTGTTGAATACCAATGTACTCTTTCTGCTAATATGGAAAAATTACAGTTGACAGAGGTATCAAATACTTAAGTTGAAAAAACCAAAGCACATTAATATTTGTGATAACATATTTAGATTAAACATGCAGCAAACCACAGCTATTTTAACATTAATAATTTGGAAATCGGACTACAATATTTGTATACTTTATGCTACTCTGTGTACATGAAAAACAAAAACATGCAAATGAATAAATTACTGAAAATATGTCTCTCCATTAAATGTTTTTATTGACACAAATAATTAAAAAATCCCTAAGCAAAGTTCATATTTAGCATAACCTATTACCAACAGCTATCGTCAATGGCCTGAACTCCTCACCATCGACGATTTTGATCTCCCCGCCTATACCATCATCACGCTTTCCCCTCTTCATCACCCCCATCACAACTGCCTCCTCCCTCAGCCCAATGCACTCACCCGCTATAGCTACCTGCACTGATTGAGCAATTAACTTTGAACTATTCGCGAACATTGACTTCCGAACCGCCCAAACACCTCCACAGCAACCCTTGAACGAGCGGCCGCTGCTTCTCGACCCGTGTAAACGTGTGGAGCGTCCTCACGTGGTCGTCGTCGGGGCAGGTGCCGGGCGGCAAGAGAGGCGGCAGCAGGACCGAAACGGCGAGCCCTTCCCTGCAGCGCGGCGACGGCGCCACGCCACCCCCCGCCGCTTCCCTCAGGTAGAGCAGGACCTGACTCTCGGGGAGGATGCAGGGGTCCCACTGCGGCTCGTCCCCGTCCACCGGACCTACAGCAGCACACACGGCAGCGACAGCCAAAGCACGTTTACAACAAGTGCGAAATGCCTGTGAACTTTACACGGACAGATTCGTGAATTAAAGCCTTACGCAAATTATATTCTCAATTCGTGTGTTTATGAACGGATTACTCAATGTTATTTATTATAAAAAATCTGGGAAATATTTTGTTGTCAAACTTATCACCATGAAGTTACCTGGTGAAGTCTTACCAGAGTCAACTTGATAGTGGCCAAGTCCCGCAGGAATGATGGCCTGGTACTGCGACCCCACCATCACCTGTGCAATACAAACGCCCCATTCATCTCACGCTCCTCATTCGCAATAGTCAGCTGCAGCTGTCCCATTTGCAGTCCCATCTTCCACGGACTACTGCAATTTGGTATTTACTATAGAAATATACAACTTCAATACATTTTGAGCCAAGACTAAGCACAACTCTATATGACCACTTAGTTGAGCAATGTTTGAATAGAACACCAATCTACATTAGCCTCGTAAAACCATTAGTTTGAAATATCTGTAAATAACCGAGTATCTGGCAGCAGATTGCACAAGAGAGATATACGCATTAAAGAGCAGATTCCTACATTTGTGTGCTGCTCAATGTGGCTGGCAGTGCATCCAAGAGGATTAGTATCGATAATGAAGTGGCGAAGATGCTGGTGGCACTGCATCAATTATTTTTTAAATGGCCTAACCGTCTGCATGAGCAAGAAATCGTCAATGTTCCAAGGCTCCAATTCAACGTGTTTGAAAGACACCACAAGATGAGCACTCACCGTCTTCCTCTCCTCGGCAGCCACACACTCGTCCTCGTCCGAGAAATCCGTCCCCTCGTTGCCGTCCATCTCTGTGTCCACTGCGAGGCAGAGAGAGAAAGGGAGAGGCATTGCTCGCCATTGCCGCTCACGTCGCCTGCAAGCAGCTGCAGAGCCGTCGGCTCTCAAAGGGCGACGTGTGGAGGGGATCGTCTCCCGTGTGGAGGGGATCGAATTGTAAATGTTATGGGTTTACTCTCCCAACACACCGGTGTGCTGCACTAGTAACGAATTGGCATGCTTTGTTTACGTGACAAACCTTACTAATTGGCTGTGTCGGTTGCTGGCGGGTTTAACGACACATTTATATTTACACGATCTCACCCAAAAAAAACTCTATTATGGATAACATTGGCTAAGGAAGCCGACCATTATTTATGTTGAGGTACCCCTTTAAAAATGTAGTAATATTGTGTCATGACAATAGACATGTACTTTAATGAACTCTTTTTTAATATACTGTGCTTTAATCTTGCCACAAAACAATGCACGTTATCAGATTTTTAAAAAACATTATTTATTTCGTGGGAACCTTAATACCTGTAGACATGCAGGCAGATTTAATTCTGATAAAATTAGTGCATCTCTCCATCCTTCCCCATTACTATTTATCTTTCTGCAAGTAAAGGAAAGGAGTACACAACACTATGCTGTAGTTGTAAGCACTACACTGTCACTATCTTGCCATGTGTTATAATTTGCCATGCCTACATTGGTTTATTGTAACTGTGTCCTGCTCGTATTTCGTCTCCTGTTCCTACTATCGGCTGTGTTCAAGTGAGTGCGACCGCACCGTCTAATGATCATTCTATTGTCCATATTTTCAACATATTGACTTGTAAAAAAATGTTAATTCAACAACACCTCAATTTGGCAATCCGCCCATACCGAACATCTGTGAAAAAGAGCTTCATAGTTCATCGGATTCCTCCTCCTGCAGTCTAAAGAAAGATTCAGATTCTGAATGTTCTACTTGTGTGCTCTAGTTGTATGCACCATCGTGTCACTGTGGGTATTGTTACTTGGTTCAGCTAATTTTTACCAGACCTGCCCCAACTCCAGTTGGTGTCATTAAACGGCCACACATATAAATGTAATTTGCCATAAAGGATATATCCCCAGTGAATAGCAGCTTCAACATGAACATACAAAGATCACCATTACCCTAGTCCAAGCCACACCTCAATTGGTTCTCACCCATAAATGGGTTTTCATCTGTTTTTAAATATAAGCATATGGTATTGTTTGTTTTATTTAACTTGAACAATAAGGGCACAGTGAAATTCCCACCAATGCTACGGCCAAACACACAAGGCAAGGCATGCTTACACTGGAAGGAGCAGCCAAAGATGTCCTGGGTGCCATTGGAGATGACCGAGGGCATGAGGTCATCAGCTGAGGACTGACTCTCGTCATCTTCGCCCGACAGCAAGTCTTTGGCAATCTCCTCCTGAAAGCATTCCAAATAAATTTATCAATCCCTTGTCATTAAACAACACTGTCCAACTAACCAAAACAGACATAAGAGCACAAAATATACTAACCTGAAGAGACATGCAAACACAAAAAAACAGATATTACAAGCATATAAAGTCCTCGCACCAAAGCAAAAATGCATGAACAGTGAGTTTTCCCTCTGCCTGTGTAGAACAATGTGGCAGGTGCAATTTGTGAGTAACATAGTCAGGCAGCATACAACAGGGTAATGGGTCCTGAGGGATGCACACTCAGCCACCAAGGTAGCTGATGGCAACAGAGCACAAGGAAAGGGCTACACATATTTAAGGCAGAGATGACCAAAGGCTCAAGTTAGGTAGAAATGGTATTCAGCCAGACCTTAATAACACATGCCTGTGATCTACCACTTTGCAGGAAGGGATCGGTGGATCACTTAGATTTGTAAAATACCCAAATCCACTAGGATGCCAGGTAGGCGGAAGATGTCAGTGCAGCAATTGTCTTTGTGAGCCCATCCGTGCAGTCCTTTAAGTGTTATCCCCTACTAGCCTTTTGTCCGTCCAAGGACGGGTGTATTGCAGTAAATCTGAAACTTGCAAGCGAAAAGCAGAACGCGAAGTGATATTCATTGCATCCTTTTGTGTGAAATTTGTAAGGGTGCAGTGACACAGACGTATTTCATTTCAAGGTTCTAATCCCTTGTTCATCATGAGGTCCTTTTTACTTCTATGTCTCGACAGCGTTACGGAGATCGCGTGACGTGAGGATTCTGCCTTTGTAGTAAGGGTTATAAGTTGATGCTGAGGAGGGGGGAGGAGGCGCCTCGCCCCCCCATGTGGAGTAACGTCACCCACTAATTTATATTAATGGTTGGGGGTGTCCATTTGGAGGACGTCACCTGTTCATGAGTATTAATGAGAGGGCTGGTCTACGTGGAGTGACGTCACAAGCGGGACACACAGACATTCTTGGCTCATTACAGTAGTAAATAAGTGTGGCTTGCCTCCTTGTACTCTGGTTTCCTACCACATCCAAAACAGTCCTTAGAGGAATTGGCTCAGCATTCAAATGGAGCATCCTCCTAAATGTTTAGACTTGGTGAGGTTTTACAGGATAAATGGCGTGAACATCACTAATATTTACAACTGGGATAGCTGTGCAATTCAATTGCCATTCTTTTACACGGCACGCAAGCACACGCACCTTATCGAGCGTCATTTCCGGAAGGTTGTCAGGGAGGCCGCTCCCTGGACTCGCTCCCCCGGGCAGTGCCGCAGCTGCGAGTGGCGCGCCGTACCCATAGAGCGCCAGCAGCTCTTCGAGTGGCATCTCGCCCTCCTGCTCAAACAACGCACATCGCCCACAATGTTCAGCCAGGCACCCAGTGACCAAAGCCATGTGCAAAAAACACAAATATGCCTCCACGTGCATATTCAAGCTTATTTAAGCTCACCGTAGTTTTTTGGAGGTAACTGCTGCTTAAGCCAAAATATTGTAAACAATCCACTCCCATTGCTCATATCAGCTGCAGAATACCTGGTGCAATCATGCAGGAGCATCCTCCTATTAGCAACACCATCCCAGTAAGGAGTTCACTGCATCTATTGAATAACTAAAACAAAATTATTCTTACATACACTGCCTAAGCCTATATATTTCTACATGTTTTTAACAATATAAAACGCCGACATCAAATATAGAAGCTGTATTATTTAAATATTACATTTATTTATTGTAGTCTTCAATCATGAAGGCTATTTTATCAGACTAATGTTAATGCTTTTAACATAAATAAATTAAATGTTTCACAAATTAAGGTGCACAATAACATAGTATTAAGCTATGATAATTTAAGGACTTAAAAGCGAATAAGCATTACACCAACCACTGAGATGCATAAAGTATGCAAACACAATTTGTAAAACCTGGTTACCATCGCGATAGTAGACAGAATTATAACTTCCTAAAGTCAAAGGATAAAAAAAAATTTGCACTCTTGGTTCGATAACGAAATGGTACTCATGGTCTAAGTTTTCTGTGGGAGACACTGTGAGGGTGGAGGTTATGGCATGAATATATGCACTAGATGGGGACCCTGAGACTGACATGATCAATGCTCCCATCAGTGGGCCTGCTCAGTCCACACTGCAGGAGAACAATGGCCAGCTGCTGAACCAAATGACAAATCACACACTTGCAAATAATGTCTACGCTTACTTAATCACTTCAAGCATGACAAACAGCTATGTTTGTGGGTAAGTGTGCACAATAAAACTAATCTGGAGGGGAATTCAAAACAGTATATGAGTGCACTTCAACAGTGTTTATTTAAACCATGTGTACAATGTCTACAGTATCTCCCACTAAATTAACCTCATAAATCATGTCAATTCTCCTGCAGCCATGGGCAACAGACCCATCCCTGCCATTGTTCCGAGTGGCTGAGAAGTCAGACCATGCTCTCTTTGCACTCAGTGTTGTCTAAAAGCAGCAGGTTTCTGGAGGATGAGGCTCATGGGAGGCATTAAGCAGCCGGTTGCTCTGATCCCACGAGCATCATTCTTTTGGTCCATAACTGGTGAGGACTAAACCGTAAAAACAAGATGTGGTGAGTCTATAGGATCATAAACAATCCCAAGGCATAAAAATCAATCTCATTCAAGCAATGTCCTTTACTTAACCAAGTCAGGTTTTCCTGTGCATTGAGTTGGTCTCAGTACAGCCACTGTTGTACACCAAAAGCACACAAAATAAAATGCATCTGAAATTATGTTGTCTTATCCCCCAGCGTCTATCCATCTTGTTGTATAAACGGGTATATTGCAATTAGTCAACCAACAAGTGACACGTGGCGAGGTAGAATGTGGGTACCCACACCTCATCTGGAGAGGACAACATGCTATTTACAGGAGCTCTCCAGAGCTCCATATAGTGGACTCTTCTGCGAGCAGTAGAGTAAGCAACACACTTCGAAACTGTATCTTTAACTTTGCCGGGTTTCTGGACATCACTGTCAAATATATATTTTGACTTTTACAATGTATGTTGACTGCCTATGTTTTTAGTAAAAAAAAGCATAATTTTAAATAAACACCTCCCCATGGGGTACTTAAATACATCTTCCAAATCTTCTACAAAGATGCAAGTGAGAGATAAAAAGGCTAATCCACATTGTCCACACAACACTACATTGGCTCAAATTATCTTTATTTGTGGTTGTCCCACGTTATGTCATACATATCACAAGTGACACAACAGATGTGCCACGCTAACAATCAGAAGCACTGCTGCCAGTCAGCACAGGCCACATGTCACCTAGTTTGAGGTGAGATGAACCCCACCTCTATATCAGCGTGGATGAGCAGAGCTATACTTCGTCAAACTGGCTGACGGAAGTGCCTGCGGGTGTTTGTGGGCAAAGGTGGTGCGCATACTCAGTGGTGTGAGATTCCCCACCTTCTCCAGGTCCTCCACCTCAGAAGAAAAGTTGTGCTCGCTCTCGCGTGCCTCTTCCTCCTCCTCCTCCAGCGTCCGCTCATCGTCAAACTCGTGCACCAGCATCTCGGCTGACGGGTCAAAGTCCTGGTCCTCTGAGCCCGCCGAGTACACTGCATCAACAATCGCACAAAAAGCCAAGCGGGCACTGTGAGCACATTCAGTTCCTGAAGCGAACTCCCAGTAAGCTGCGAGCACTGGGTTTCCACACTCCAGTCCTTGTAGCCTACCATGGTCCATATTTCCACATTCACCAATCTTCTCCATGCAAATGTAATGCATTTGTTGATCGGTAAAATAGAAACCTGGTCGTGGTGACATTTTTGCTGTCCGAATCCAATCAAAAAATGTTTTGTTGTAGGACAGTTGCCAGGTGATCAGAAGGCTGTGGAACAGAACCAACACCAACATGAGGTCATTGTGTGATGACCACAGAAGTAACTTAAATTTCATTATTTTTTAAACTTTACATTTTTATAATTCCGATGGGTTTTTATTACTCTTACAAAGTACATCTTTTTACTTTAACAGTTACATTAAAACATACATTTAGTTAAGTAGCCCAAATGTAAGTGGTGTTCCCTAGTTTTCCAGGCCATGTGTGCTGCTGCTGAAGCACGTAACCGGACAAGATATTTTATAACAGACCTCATGAAACTGTTGAAGCAGGCTACCACATCAGTGTTATGCAGGTCGACATGTAACGTTATCCCTGCTGTGCCGCACACGAAAATGCTGCCTACCCTATTTACCGACCATATGGCTTCCCAGTGTTCAGTGGCATTAAAATATAATTCACTACGGACAATTTCACACATCTCTTGCCTACAAATTTGTAAAAAAATAATTCCACAAATCTTTATTTTAAATAAATCATAATGGATATATTATAATTATTACTTAAACACTGTTAGGATTGTTGGCAGGAGCCTCAATATTCATTCACACAAATTGTGCAATATCACACAAGATCACGTGCTTATTCAATAAGTGCACATGGGTCCCAGGACAGGCATTTAGTTTTGAAAAACAATTTGGTTTCCGTATCTAAAAATGTATTTACGTGTGACTCATGTATCCTTCAAACTTGTGAATCAAGTTTAAAAAACCAAATACAATACATCATAGCATATACAAAAGATTTCACACTTGGATATAGAGTATACACATCAACAGTTTAGTCTATGGTAATGCATGTTTATGGTGCACTAAAACAACTTCTTAGCTATATAGGTATACCTGATGACAAAATGTACAATGAAACGAGCTTCTCTGTGATTCTGAGGCAGTGGTGTGACGAGACAATGTCCCGATTAATCCACATTGCCAGTCAGACTAGGAATCTTAGTGGATGTTACATGTGTTGACTTATTTTTTTCCCAAAACATTTAAATTACATGAATACTTATTGGGGCCATCAGCACATTTTTCTGAATTCTCCTGCTGAGAATCAACATAAAATATATAAATACATGTAAAATGATAAAATATGAAATACTAGACATAAAAATCAATAGTTCGGCTATAAGCCATTGGCAAATCTAAATAATCCCCAAGCCCAATGTCTGTCTGTGCACGGAGTTATCGAAACCCAACAGAGTTGGGAGCCACTGCATGGGTGGTTATGGCACCATGCTATGCATTTCCATTTCCACATGTAGCTATTCTTCAAAGTCCGTGCAGAACTCACGTGCATGCAAGCAAGGCATGCCGTATTGGACAACCTTGGTGAAGCATGGGGCATACATAAATTCAAACCTACAAAAATATAATATAATTCATCTGCCCAGAATACATGTGTTTACATAAGGTTTGCAATAGGGTTTAATTGGTCCAGGTTACTTGACAATATATATGAAATTGTCCAACGACTGTAGTTTAGAGTTGCTGTACAATATAGTACCACTATACGACCAAAAGTGATGTCACCCCACTTCCAGGTTACCCTTAAGATCTACATTCACTGGCCATTAAAGGTGTTGAACACGAGTCACCGTTGAACAGAAGCATGCACAAGTGAGTGCATAAAAGAACGTTACCCATCTAGACCTCATCCTCAGATCAAGTTGAAGACAGAAAGTGAGCTAGTGAATTTATTTATTTAAAACATGTAATAATTAGATTTTATTCATAACAGAGGGTTATATTTTAATTAGTATTATTATGAGAAATTTAGTAAAATGTCTCATACAGTATACACTTTGATAGTGTGAGGAAACGTAACAGCTGACTGCATACAAAATGTTGCAGTGGGGATGCATTTATTTAAAACAGTCCCATCAAAAAAATACATCTTTATGGCAAGAGCTCGTGGTCAGCTTGCAAGCCCTTGAAACCAGTTATTAGCTTCACAAAATATGTTAAGTAAGATATTGACTTTTTTGCAATGTAAATAAGTGTAAAATAAGGGGAAATTTAACTTTACGAATTATTAAGTCAAAATTTAGGAATGTTATGCAATTAGCCCCATGGTTCTCTGGAAATGAAAATTGAGATGTGTGAAAAAAAGATTGTAATTTAACAATGCATGCACTTAATGTAAGAATATCAAAGCCATCCCAGTTATCACAACTTCACAAGTACAGTTTGAAAAAAAGATGTCAATACCAGTTTATGGCCATTCCTGTACTGTGCACCGAACAAATTACATTTCCCTGCTGCCAACGTATTGCAACAACAGGCGACACATTGCCTTATCACTTTAAAAAACAGATCCAACGACGCTACATTCCAAATATTTTGTTCAGTTGTAATCCATATCAGATGTACACAATGACGCGACATCTGCTACACCCATCAATGCTATGATTCAGTTCACAAATGAAACCATGCAAACTAGTGTAAACTGGTCATTCAAAGTGGGAACTTTACATCGTTTTATAACTGCAACTTTTAAAATCTAAAATTACAAATTGGCGGTGAATATTGGCTTAATTACTACTTTTGTATTCCCTATATTTGCATACTGGTCTAATTTTACTCTGCAATTGGTATTCTTATTTTAGTGTATCCATTGCATAAGTCTCTAATGCAAGTTTGTTTCAATCGAGCATTATCTGCCAAGAGAGGTAAAGCAGTATAAATGCACGAGTTTACTCCTAAACAGAAGCTTCTACAGTAAATCACTGAGCCCCTGATGCATTGCTCAGGTGAAACCTAATTGGTTCCCTTTGCTGAGGTTACCTACAGGTGACCTCGATAAATGAAAGAAAAAAAGTGTTTTGCAGTGCACTTACCTGGACTCCAGCTGTCATTTGTTGACTAAGAGAAAGGGGTAGCGGGAAACAAGAGGAAAGGAGAAGCAAAATCAAACGGTGTTGTACATTTGGACATCAAAACAAACCCCTTTAGATTTGCCGAGTTAGTAAAAAACACAATCTCCCAGATCTTGCTTAATCGACTTGTTCTCAACGGGACATCAGCTTGGGCTTTTTGCATCTTGCCATCTAATACCGGCTTTTTTAAATAAACAAACTGCTCCTATATCACCAAGCCACTTTGTCAATATCACACATTGAACACATATGGCATTTCAATGCTTTTAGTTATTTCCCACTTATTACTTAAACCAGTGGCTGCACACCCAATGCACTCTCCACAACTCCCGGCACCGGCCCCAATCCCAACAGCCCCGGCCCGATGCCCGGCGCACCACGGACTCGCCTAGCGAGCCCTACCGAGGCAGAAGCACCGGGGCCTGCGGAAGCACAGAGGCCGAGAGGGGTCGGACCCCGGGACCGACCCGCGGCCCCTCCCCCTATCACCCCCCACCCCCAAGCGCCTTGCCAAACCCGTCACCCCAAACCGTGGCTCCCGGCGCTCGCGTCGCCCCGAGCCGCACCACCGAGCCGCGGGAGGCAAAACGTGCGAGTTTGGCCGCGGCGAGGGACGGGATGGCGGCTCGGGGGAAGCGCGGCGCGGCCCCGCGGAACCGCCGCGCTCACCTCCGCCATGGCGCGCCTCGCTCGCGCTCGCGGCGCACGGGACCCGGATGCAGCGGCCGTTTGTACCGCGCGCTCCCATTGGCCGTGAGCGAGCGAGGGAGGCGTGGTCAGTGTAGGAAGCGACCAATGGGAGGTCCGGACGAGACGAGAAACAAGCTGGCAAGCCGGTGCAATGGGGGAGCCTCCAGGCCCGTGTTTGCACGGGGGATTCCCCCGGCCCAACGCTGTGAGCATTGCACGTCAACTCAACTATTTTGCATTTCACCAGGTGAGATCCACTGAGCCTGTGTAGATCTTTTTCAGACGCGACATGGCAACAAATGAAAGCTTAACGAGGTTGATTATCTCATGTGGGGAATTTCCAGCTGCCAAATACTCTCTAAACGCATGGTGTTGATACTAAATGTGGAGAGAAAAAAAACCGGAGGACCCGGAGAAAAATCCACGCAACCACAGGGAGCGAGCGAGAGAGACGCAAACTCCACATGTACAGCAGGCGCCGTCATGTTTGGGATCGAACCCCCACGCACACGGCCGTCGTCATCTTCTCATGATGACACCAACATACCGAACAAGACCAGCACGTAGTACAATTCTTATCGCGTCTACAGGTATCCCGATCCCGAACAAATATTCAACACGTTCCACGAAAACACTTCCCTTGCAATGAAACATATATAATAGACGACGTTTCGGGCAATGATCCTTCTGCGTAATGTACACGAAAAAAATCAATAAGCATTTTAGCCATATGCGTATAACAAATGAGATAAGGAAATGTCTCCTTAATATATTTCCCCACATAAACATTGGAAAGTATATTTTACACAAATCATCGGCCCCATCATTTCATCAGCATTGATTCAGGCCAAGCAAATTCTACTCATATTTATGATTTAACAATTGCTGAGCACAGGCCCAAAACGTCAAACGGCCATCAACAATCAGCACTCTCAATGTTGAAGACCAGAGTTAATGCTTGTTACATTTTAATTCAAGAGTAGTGTCCCGAACAAGTATGTTGAAGTTTGTTTTTATTGATGCTTATGCACCGCAGCCAAGGCGGTATAATTGTTTCGGTTATTCCACAAATGTGTACCTGGTGTCAACACAATTTCTAAACAAATGTGCTCGCACAGCGGGTGACGACATCGCCAACGATGATCGTCTGCTGCCGCATGAAGGCCGCACACTGTCGCAGTCTCTCACGAGCCTGCAACGCAACGCTACATGTAGTACCTGCACACGGAGATCGTGTCAAAGCTCCATCTCCTCGGGGCACGTCCTCTCGGGGGCATTCCATCCCATGGCTGTTACTGCATCATTCTTCTTGGACATCATCCATTCCAGCGATATGATCATCAAAGCGATAGGAGCATCAAAGCCAAAGGTGTACATGTTAGTGATGTGGAACTCCCCTTAGGGGCCGTCCATAAATGACGTCACGCGATTTTGGACGATTTTTGACCCCCCCCCGCCTCTTCACACGGCGTCAATAAAAAGTCAGACCCCCCCCTCAAATATGACGTCACAAAGCTCTACCCCCCCCCAAACCATATTTCCATTTTGAAAATAAAACATGCTTAAAATCACTTAAAACTATTGTCATTGTAGTGCGTATTTAATGTGGCGCTGCACTCTGATGTTGTAGAAGAAAACATTTATTAAAAAGGAGGCATTGGAAAGCTTAAATTTCGCATAAAATTTATTTGAGAATATTCAACGTCTAACTAAAACTGCAGATGTTCAGAATATTACATTGAAATTATCTTATAATTATAAAATATTTTAAAAATACTTGAAACTTTGTAGTAGAACGAAGCAAAATGGAGAGTACAATTATAACAATCATATATTCATTCCATAGAATGAAAAGCCCTGGTAGAATCATTAGAATCAAAATGTTTAATAACAATAATTTAAAAATGTTCAAAATGTATGCCTCTCCATTCCCCCATGGAGAAGCAAAATTCTCCTTCATGGAATAAATAAAAGGTGACCTTAGTAAATTTAAATAATCAAATAGTTAATAATGAAAATGTATAAAAATTAGTGTTGTTTTAACAATTCTATATTTATTAAAAGTTGCGCATTTTGATGTGACGTCACATTTCTCAACCCCTCCCCTCGTCAGACATCGTCACAAATGTCTGACCCCCCCCCCTCCCCTAGGTGCGTGACGTCATTTATGGACGGCCCCTTATCCGTGTACTCATGTATTTGCAGATATGAGAGGTTGTCGTCATCGCTGATAATTGCAGGTAGAGCAACGCAGGTAGAGCGTCACGACTGTTATTCACAAGAATCGTGGATATCAATCTTCATCTTCTTGGTTCTTTCGGTAAAGTCTACGTGACTTTACCGAAAGAACCAAGAAGATGAATCCCTGCAGTCACGAAAGCTTTAAATCGAAAAATCAATCTTCATCTACCGCAGGATAAACATGCGATGAATGTATCTCAATAAATATTCAGCGAGTTTAAATGTTTGGCCTGGTTCCGTACCTGATCTGCATCTTCCACTCCACAAAATAGAATCAAAGAGTGGAAAGTCTGTTTGAGTTGATATTGAACGACTCTGAAGAGAATTTACATTACACAATGTAACTTTACCTGCCATGCATTCTGCTCGAACTCTCATCCCCGATGTATGTAAGGAATAAACGCCACTGGTGTTCGATAATACACCGCCATTTCTGAATTGACTCGAGGAATTTAGACCAGGTGCTGAGCTTAAATTTCGATTTAAAGCTTTCGTCACTGCAGGGATTCATCTTCTTGGTTCTTTCGGTAAAGTCACGTAGAAGGGAAATAATAAAATTAAAACATAATAAAATACAATTCTCACGACGTTTCGGCCACAACGCAAGCAGCTGTCCTCAGGTGAAGAACAGGTCTGTCGGAAAGACAGCGTCTGAATGAACACCACAAAGCTTGGCAGCGTATATTTAAGCTGCTGGGTTAGAGGAGGAAGGGCTCCTCTTGACTACTTGCGTTGTGCCCGAAACGTCGTGAGAATTGTATTTTATTATGTTTTATTTTTATTCTTTTATTATTTCCCTTCTACGTGACAGGTGCTGAGCCTTAAGTGAAATTATTTTTCCACACCTCGTATCGAGCTACGGTCTCAATGTGGACCACAGTTCTCTCGTCTCGCCACATCTCTGCGTAAGTCTCTTCTGGAAGCTCACCAGGAGTTCGCGAACGTGACGCGAGGAGAAGACCACGTTGCTTTTTTTTGTCTTTCGGGCACGAAACTTTCCAGCATCACCGCTCGCGGGGCTCGGCAAGGGGCGGCTGCTGAGTGCGAAAGAAGCCCGCAGGCACCAGGGGGCAGGATCGGCGCACCGTTCGTCACACAACACGCGAGAGAGAAGAGAGTGCTTGTGCGTGAACTTCTTACGAAGCCAACCGTGCTAATCGGAGAACAACAGTGACACACGCAAGGCAGTCGGGAAGAACGTGAGTGTTCAAGGCAAATGTTTAAATTGGCGACAGTGGTGCGAGCGCTCGGGGTACGATTCGCGTTGATAATTTGGCCATCATTCTATTAAGATTTGCACAAAACGACTCCGCTAATTTTAAACGAAAAGTAACACATACAGAAGCTTAAAATTATAATTGGTATAACTTTTTTTTTATATGAATGCCTCAATTATTTTCAAATACCGTAAACCACTTTGCAAGAGTAGAGAGGCCAAAGTCAACATTAAGGGATAGGTGTTTGAGGCAGGAGTGATGTCCGTGTTGCTTTACTGCTGGGAGAGCGAGACTTTAAGAAAGAATACTGAAGAGACATTTCTATAATGTAGTCATATCGGTGAACTTACAGGATAGTGTTCATTTGACGGTAGGATAGGTGAAAGTATCTTGAAAATTCATTTTACAAAAAATGTTCACCTTTATTTAGCCAGGTAAAGAAACCCTTGAGTTTAAAAAGCTCTTTTGCAAGGGGAACCTGTGGCAAGACATTATTTCAGATGCAAACAGGAAAAGGAAGTTTAACACGTACGCTTTCGCGACCAATGCCATCCATAATATCGTTTTTTTTTGTTAGATCGCGTAAATATGTCTCGTTAAACCCGCCACCACCCGCCACAGCCAACTAGTAAGGGTTGTC